ATTATTTTAGGTATGTCATATAAGTGGAATGATATTTGTCCTTTTGTGTCTGGCTTATTTCACATAGCATATGTCTTCAAGTTTCATCCATGTTGTGGCAGGTATGAGAATTTCATTCCTTATTAAGGCTGAATAATATCCCATTGTATGTATATACCACATTTTGTTTGTCCATTAATCTGCCAATGAAAATTTGTGTTTCCACCTTTTGGGAACTGTGAATAATGCTGCTACAAGCATTGGTGTACGATGTTCCTAAGTTTTTAGCAGTGATGAGTGGAATAGTTCCAGGATTGTTTTTTACTCTGCATATGAATTTAAAACAGTTTCTCTCTCCCTTCCCAGGCTACTCCCACCCCACCAATCCCCAAGCTCCGAAAAATCAAACATTTTGTATTAATGACCCCTTGAGATCTAGAAGAGTTTATCATGTTATTTCCACATTTATTCCCTATTGTATTAGGGAAGATAGCAATAGAGATGGGAAATATTAAGGGAAACAGTGTAGAGTGACAGAACAAATCTGAAGCAATTTTTCTTTTAAAATGTATTTTCAAAACTAAGGTGTCAGTCTTTGGTGCTTTGCTACTTATGGAAGTGCTAAAAATAGGCATGCAAAATTAGGGTTTTGCCATTAAGATAAGAGATACAATGAAGTCATTTATTTATTGAGCCATAAAGCTATTATTTGCCACTTTCTGCCTGAAGCATCAACTAAAAGAGTTTGGGGACTTGCTGCTGTATTTTTTCTTTCTGAGACAGAGCACATAATAGACACTCAATAAATATTTATGAAATAAGTGAGTAAAATGGATGATTAGAATGAGCCCTTATTATGTCTTGGGCTCTGTGAAAGACATTGGAGAGTGTCACATGACACCATCCCTGCCTACATAATGCTTTAAGACTAGCTAGGGAATGAGAGATACAATACTGTAAACAAATCACAATGGGTGTACAGAGATTAAGAAAAATTAGATCTACTTATGGATAGTAAGAGAAATCGCAAAGAGGAGTTGGTTAGAATGGAAAGAATTTTGATAGATGGAAGTATGAAGTACATTCATTTCATGTGCACTAGCAGAGTCACAGTGGGAACAAGAAGCATATGTAAAAGTATAATTTTTGGTCTTCCAGTCTGTTCAATAAACTTTGCCTTCCTTACTTTATTAAGCTTCATAGCATCTTCCATTTCCCCACCTCCAAAAGAAAAGTATCATTCTTTATACTTCAGAAAAAGATACCAAGAAATGCATAGTAATTGACTGGGAAGACCTAGATTTGAATCACCAGATTCCACAGCTGGTGATTCTAGCCAGTAGATTACATGCAGTGATTGTAAATTACCTTGTTTTGGGCTGACATATAAAAGGGAAGGACAAGAGAGAAATCGGAGGACAAGAGGGATAAGACAGAGAACTCTGCGGGGTTAAACCGGTGGCGGAAAGAGAGGGTCATCACTATTTTTTCCACTTTAAATTTAAGCAAAAAAACATTTTTTGTCTTTAAAACACAGTCAAATGATTTAGGTGAAATATCTAAATAAACAATTTAGAGAATGGTAAAAAATAGACTATTAATAGTCAATTTCACAAAGGTTCTTTATTGTCCTTTTGGGTGTGTTTTAAGTCTGACTCTAAGTGTATATTTTAGAATACTGTGTTTATAAAAATAATTTGACTGAATTGTTTTAGACAATGTTCTTCTTTTAAAATATTATTCAACTAAAATATGTTCTGAAGTTTTCTGACCTATAAGAAGCCTTGCTTTTCAGAACATAATTCAAAATCAATTCAGTTATAAAAATAAAATATATAAAATATATATCTCCAAAGATTAAGAAAGATTATGAACTAATGGAATAAAGTACATAGCAAAGAGTCATGTATTTTTATGAGTGAAAGAGGATATGAAGTGAGAAAATGCTCCGGATGAGTATGCATGTTCATCAACTTTGCATGGTATGAATTTGATGGATAGCAGATCATTACACAAACAACTTTTGGTGGTAGCATGAAGCCACTGCAATGAGTGCTTTTCCTCTTTTCATTTATGACTGAAAAGATTTGATTTTCAGAGATAGGCTACCATAAATGCCATAATTAAAAACCATTGGTATTTTCTCATCTGTTTTGTGGGGAAAAAACGTTGGTCCATATCTTGAGTTGTCTGCATGAATTAAAAGTTGAAAGTAAATATTACATGCCTCCTTTCACTATTTCCAGCAGGTATATATATGATAAAGTATCATAAAGCAAACAAAATTATAGAATAATAGTCAAAGGGGGCCATAGAGTTTGATAGTAACTTCTAGTTAATTTGCTAGTGGATGTGATGATTTATTTTATATGTCAACTCGGCTAGGCTATGATGCCCAATTGCTTGGTCAAATACTAGTGTGGATGTTGCTGTGAAGGTGTTTGTGGATGTGATTAACATTTATAATCATTTGACTTTGAGTAAAGCTCATTACCTCTTATAATGTGGGTGGGCCTCATTAAATCAGTTGAAGGCCGTAAGAACAAAGACTAAAGCCTTCTGAAGAAGTAGCAATTCTGCCTCAAAACTGCAACATAGGTATCCTTCCTGAGTTCCTTGCCTGTTGGCCTGCTCTACAGATTTTGAACTCAATACTGCAAGAAAAATTCTTATCTGATGTTCTAGCCTTCTGATTTGCCTTACAAATTTTGGACTTGCCAGTTCTCACAATCATATGAGACAATTTCTTTAAAATAAATCTCTCTATATATGTATACTACTGCTTTTGTTTCTCTGGAGAACCTTGATTAATCCAGTGACAAAATTAAAGCCCAGAGAAATTACATAATTTTCCTAATGTGATTTAGTAAATGTCAGCAGGGTTGGTGATAGAAAGATGGAGAAACAGGGTCACATAATTGCCCAAAATATTGATTATAAGACTGGGAAAGAAATTTATAACTATCAACTTTCAGGCCTGTCTTTTTTCAAAGGTTGCATGTAGAAAATGATAATAACTTGTGTTAAACCAAGACATTTAAAATCCTGAAGTGCAAATCAGATAAAACGTTTAAGGGATTGTTTGTTTGTTTTGCCAAAAGACAGTATGATTCTTTACAGAGGGAACTTTCTTCACCATTTAAGGTGGTTTCATTTTTTAAAAAATGCTTTGTAAACTTTTAGGGCCACATAAGCTCAATATACTTGAACAGGGCATGTTTCTAAAATGTGTCTTATTAAAAATATACCCCAGTTCAATAATTATTTCATGCTTTTGGAAAAAATACTTTGTAAGTGTAGAAAAGACAAAGAGTGGTAAATACACATATCCTGTTATCTTAATAAACATATATGCACTCTCTTCTGAAAGCTTCACCACAAATCTCTGAGTTCTTACTACCATTGTATAATGGAGAAAACTGGGGCTGGCAGAGACTAGAAGACCTGCCCAAACTACTCAGAGACAGAGCAGCTGACTGCTAGATTTGAACTTTCCTCATTACCCTGCAATTATGCCCAGAGATCACCAGCATTAGGTGATGTTTGTAGGTTTCTTGCAGAAGGGTGGTGTTTGTAGATGTCTTGACCAAGAGTCCTATAATAAGCTAAATTATCATCCTAATTAAAAGGATACATGGGCTCTATTGAACTAGCACGTATATTAAGATTTATTTGGGGAAAAAAATTTCAGTACATCTCTTCCTCATCACTAAAGACAACTGTACCAGGTTCTCTTGAAGGTATGAATTTCCTTTATAAGGGGAATGGAAAATTTGATCACCAAAATAAGGCATTATCTCTCCTCTCTCTCTCTTTCCCATAGTTCTCCCCATTTGTGGGTGAATATTCTTTGGACTTAGCATCTTCATAGAAAATAAGCTAGGCTCTGGGTTTTTTCTTCTTTTTTGTAAATGCTATTTGGGATTAAATGGATTTACTAACCTTAAATAATTATTCTCATGTTTCATGGCTCGCTCTCTCCTATGTTGATTGTCATTTCCCCAGTCTAATAGCATTTCCTATAGAAAAATAAAAATTTACACAATCCTGGCACGAAAGAACAGAGGTCTCTTTATTGCATATCCATTTCCTAGGTTACAAAGGCTTATCACACTTTTAGTTCATCTCCTATAATTCCTACTCAGGCAACCGCTGATCTCATTATATTTGCAAAACTTCATCTCTCTCCTTTTACTCATCTGAGAGCAGGTGGACCTAGACAGTTCTTTGGAGATGCAGTGAGTGATTTCTCTTGAGAGAGGCACATCTTTCCAGTCTGCAAAGGAATGAAAATCCAGACAGTCACATAGATCACTTTGAATGGTGCCAAATAGATTCCACCAAATGCTACTGGCAATAATTAGAGCATGTCACTGGGAGATGTGGTGATTTTCTTCCAGCATAAGGCTCCAGTCTTACCCTGAGTGCCATGAAACTGACAGGTCAGAGATAGTGTTCTCCATAGAAATAACATAGACTTCTCATGATCTGAGAAAAGAAGGGGAAGTAGCATTTCTTGACTTTGAAACGTCTGGAGCAAGGTACCCAGGATTAAGTAGGAACCACCTAGAATTTACCATGCCCTTCATTGACCCACACTTATCAGCTATTGGACAAAGTAGGCAAAAGAGTAAGTAAAGATAATCATTTTTTAATAAACAGGGTTGTTGTCTCTGGCTGAGGAAAGGCATAACCTGCTGTAGATTACAAAAAGGAAAGCTCTTTGATAGGGATGGAAAGCCCTGAAAGCCAGCATGAGAAGTCTGTTCCTTGGGAGGTAATAACATCCCAAAGTCTACCAGGATTTTAGGTTCAACTGCAAGACTGTCTTTGCATTCAAACAGGACGAGAAAGTCACACCAAAGAACCGAGCAAGTCATGGGCAAAGGAGTTGAAAAAAAAAATGAAAAGGAAAGAAACATAAGAAACCAGGGAAAGCTGCAGAATGGCGAGGAAAGGCAGAGAGACGCCTAGGAAGGATAAGACGGGAGGAGGGAGTTGGGGAGGGAGGGGAGAGGGGAGAGAGCTGATCACGGACGTCAGGAACAAAAGCTCCAGCGGAGCCTGGCGAAAGCACTAAGGGAGCATGGGGTGTTTTGAATAATTATTAAAATTAGCATGTGTCTGCGCCATCCTGTGGGTGTGGCGCAGAGAGTGTAAACTCTAGCGGGGCTGGAGCAAACATTGGATTAGCGGCAGCAGCCTGCCAACCTGCCCGTGGAGTGCGGGGACCAGCGCGCTGCACGCCGACTAGCACGATGGCCTCGTCTCAGGGGAAAAACGAGCTGAAATTAGCCGACTGGATGGCAACTCTGCCGGAGAGCATCCACAGCATCCCCCTCACCAATTTAGCCATTCCAGGTAGGCGCGCAGGGGCTGCCGGCTAGGCGCTCGGCGCCCGCTCCACCTGCCCCGCCCTGCTTTATCTGCCACTAAGTGGTAACTTGCCACGATGCCCGCGGGAGGGAAACTCGTCTTCCAGGGTGGGTCTCAGGCCAGGCGAGCGCGTGCCTGGTAGCCTTTGGCTTCCTGGCGTTTTCCAAACCTCTAAGGACCGAGGCGCTAGAGTCAAGGTGACTGCTTTTCTCCTGGGCTCTGGAAGCAGGTTGTGTGCGGAGGACTGGGGCAGAGGAGAAGCTGGGCTCCAGGATGGTGCCTCGTGACCCTCTTCTGTGGTTTCCCCTGCAGATCTAGGAGAGTGGGAGCGATTTCTGGGTCTGTGGGGTGACCGTGTGCAGTGAACGCTAGCTAGTGTCAGGGGCTCGGCTCCAGTGCACGGACCTGAGTCCATCCCTGGCACGGAATTGAGTGGATTGATAGATTCTCAGCTAGAGCCATTAATATTCGTCCCCAATCTCCTTTAAAAAGACAAAGCGCTTCCCGAAGAGTGATGAAAGTTCAGGGACTGGAGGCGGCGTGATAGCTGCCCTTGAAAAGGAGCCCAAGGGGGCGACGGGCAGAGGGCACCGTTTTGTATCGGCGTGACCCCGGGGGGCTGGCCAAGTGGACCGGTCTGGTCCAAGTGCGTGTTAGCAACACACTTCGCCAGGTGAGAAAAGGAAACCCTTGAGGATCTTGCGTTTGCTGCTCGGGACAGAAGCTGGGCAGGGGACCCTGCTTGTCCTGGAGGCGAGGGGTGGGATTAATAGGCAAATAGTAGGGGAAAGGTGACTGAGAATGTGTCCAGACAGCCTAGAAGGAAGGAAGCCTGGACAAAGCGAGGAAGAGACGCGAGGGATCAAGAAGCTTCAGCTTGACGTGTGAGACTTGGACAAGGGACTGGGCAGGTTTCTAGGGTAGGAGTTCCTAGCAACCCCTAGCTCAGGTATCCAAGAGGGAGGGTCGTTTCAGGACAGTTTACAACAATGACAGCTGGGAACATGGTCATACTTCATTACCAATTTGGCTATGCAGTTGGGCTGGGGGAGCACACACTTGATCTTTTCAGAGCTGGGCTGGAGGGCAAATTACTCATGAACAATTCACTTCTGGCCCTGAGCTGAGTTGGGTTAATAAATTCAACCTTCTGATTTACCTCCTCTTGATCTGCCCCATCCAGCGCCCCCTCTCAGCTATTGGGGGAAAACATGATAAAGAACAAAACACAACAAAAACAAAAACAAAAAAAGAAGGGTTATTTTGAAAATCACTAGATGCTCCCACCAACAGTGCTGCCATTGATCAGTTGTCGCTCAGATGAATGGTTGTTAGTCAAGTAGATGTTTGGCAGCAATGGCAGGCACAGGCTGCACTACAAGGGCTATCCACAGAAGGGGTTGTCTCCTTTTGTCCTTCTTCAACAGATAGCTTCCCACAAGCCAGGGATCTCCAAGGAAAAGAACCAACCCCAGCTTCTCCATGCTGCACTTACTCTGCTACCTAGGTGAACCTGGGGATTGCTCTTTTTAAGGAGACAGTAGAAAGCACAACTTGGGCATAGCTCCACTCTCACTTCCACAGTCATCCCCATTCCTTTTCTTCGTTTGTTGTTATTTGGATTTTAGACAGTTGCTTTCACAGTCTCCCCTGAATGTTTTGTATGCATAGAAGTTAAGAAGGGCGATCACTGTGATGCAAACCTTCTGGCAGGTGACTCTCTAGAAATGCAGAGTTAAAAGCCTAAGTTTTCTTGTCTAGTTCTGAGAGATGTATCATACCTTTTTGAGCCTACCTTACATTTCTGCAATATTTCACTTTTCAAAGCTTGTTACATACACAAGCTCACACAATCCTCCCAAAACCCTATGAACAAGGCAGTGTGGGCCCTATTGCCTCCATGTCACAGATGAAAAAACTAAAGCTAAGTGAGGACTTACTATCTATCCCTATCAGTTCAGGGATCTTACCCCTTAATTGGACCTTTGGGAAGATACTCTAAAAATTTTGGAGGGAAAGGCTTTGTGATTTGCATCTGGATGATTCAGCATCAACTATGACTAACCAGGGTTAGGAAACAAGGAACGAAGCATTCGTGGGAACAGAGTAATTTTCCTTTCCTCCCCTGGGAAAAAATGAAACCTGAGGTGAAAGACTTTGGTATTTGGGCGATCTTAGAGTACAGGCATAAAGATGATGGCATTGGGCTTCCATGGGAATTTATATTGTTTTCCCAACTCCTTTTGGTATTATACAAAAATGGATCCCCTGTAAAACTTCCCCTTCTCACTCCAATACTTGTGAGAATAAATAGACACAACATATTTCATCACATCTATACTCCTGAATACCCCCACGTTTCTGTAAATTGGTTTGGAAGATCCACACATATAAAACCAGGTTTAAAAACAGGTTTGGTACCTTTTTACATTACTCAGCACTGAGAATTTTTGGAGGAAAAAAAGATATTCAAACTTTGATAGTCAGAGAAGACTAATTGGAGACTATTAAACACTAATGGAATAATTGCCTTAAAATCATGCTAATAGCTTTCTGGCTGCTGCATGTTTACTTGGCCAGTTGCTACAGCTCAAATTAAGTAATTATCTCCACCATTTAAAACCACTCCTGATGCACCACACAAGTGTTTCTGTTGAGGGGAACTGCTGCTCAGTCAGCCTCAATGCTTCAGGTTTTCTTAGGTAAAGCGGCTGGAGAATGAAGAGCTGCCTAATTATAAGGCTGCCTACTTGGGGCAGCTGACCCAGGTTACCCAGATTACCCAGAGTTACAGAAAAAAAAAACAATCTGCAAGTGTGTCAATATTTCACCAGAGCATAGTTCTGGTGGTCTTTAAATATTTCTCAAATATCCACATTTTGAATGCCTTCAGAGTAATCTCTCAATAGCTATTTTGCATTTAAATGGCTTCATGACATGATATTGACTGGGCCAAGGAATTTTTAGTAATTGGTATTAGTATTTCACTTTCGATTTATTTTTTTATTTTATTTTATTTTATTTTATTTTTTTGGGGGACGGAGTTTCGCTCTTGTTACCCAGGCTGGAGTGCAATGGCGCGATCTCGGCTCACCGCAACCTCCGCCTCCTGGGTTCAGGCAATTTTCCTGCCTCAGCCTCCTGAGTAGCTGGGATTACAGGCACGCGCCACCATGCCCAGCTAATTTTTTGCATTTTTAGTAGAGACGGGGTTTCACCGTGCTGACCAGGTTGGTCTCGATCTCTTGACCTCGTGATCCACCCGCCTCGGCCTCCCAAAGTGCTGGGATTACAGGCTTGAGCCACCGCACCCGGCCCGATTTATTTTTTAAAGAAATGACAAAGCCCGAACACATTGACAGTTACATTTCAGCCTTGTCATTTCTTTTTCTCTCTCTCTCTGATGGCACTAAACTAAGTTTTCATTCATGCATATTTGTTTAATAATGGCATTTTGGATTGTGAATGATACTGCCTTTCACTATAAGCAAGTGAGAGAGGATAAACAGAGATGGAAGTAGGAAGACAAAGTATAAAATTTAGGTAAAAGTCAGACTGATGAAAATTCAGTTTCTCTGAAGCAGAGTTCTAACTCTGTAATCATGGTGGCTCCAGAACAGTTGTAAAGAGATTCACCATGGGAACAAGTAAGGTGTTGGTAATCTGCGTCTGTGACAGAGAGTCATCCTGTCCAAAATCTAAAAGCTTGGGAATGATTTAGCCCATGGGAGGGGACTGGTTTGCATTCTCTAATATGTAATAAAAATCTTTTTCATATAGTGCAACAAACTGACTACGTAATAATAACATATTGGCCAAAATGTTGTAGGACTGGAAACTCAGAGTCTAAGTTTTCTCCAACAGGGAATTGTTGATTGTACTTTAGATAAGGAACACAGAAATGATTATTATGCCTGTGAATTTTGTTCATTTCCTTTAGAAAATGCAAACACCAATAAAAAACAACAGGTTCAGTAAGGGAAGCTAAGTGTTTAAAAAGCTCTGGGTCTAAACAGCTCCGAGTCTCTGTTCTTGTGTCTGATGTCACTAGCTTTTAATTTCTTCCCCCAGCAGTGATCCCTTTTTGTTGCTGCCTGTGTTCCTGGAGCCAACCATGTTCCTCTTCTTTGTAATTTGCTATTTCTATTTTACTTGGATTAAGTCAATCTCTAGGATGTATCCGGGACTGGGTCTAATTGTACAAACTTCTAAAGAACAAAACCAGAGCAGTTTCCCCCTCCCCCTCCAATTTTTGATGGATAGTGATAAGAAGTGAATCCTTCAAGGCAATAAAACAGCAACAACATTGTTTAGGATGAATATGCCTCTTGTTCTGCCTCTCTAATTCCCAGTTGTTTTTTTTTTTAAAGAAAAGTTGAACAATATCTAAACATAACTTGTTCTACTAGGACTTTTCCTGATGAATTGAATCCTCTACTATTGTTAATGTAAAGTGTTATGTATGCTATTTTGCCATTCACAAAGCATCTTCCTATGCACACATGTGCTTTTTCCACATTCTAACAATAATATTCTAAGGCCCTGTGACTCAAAGTTGATCCAGGGACCAACAGCATCAGCATACATGTGGGTTTGGTAGAAATGCTGCATCTCAGACTCCGCACTTCAGATTTATTTAATTACAATCTACATTTTAACAAAATCCCCAGATGATTTACATACATATTTAAAGTTTGAGAAACACTGCTTTAGTGTAGCTCTAAAGGGGGCTTTTATGTAAATGTGGGAGCCCAATTTAAATATACTTTTTTACTAGGCCCTTTTTATTGGGCCATGCAGTCTATACATGTTTCCAAATTTATAATCATGCTTAAAGCCAGAACACCATATTTGACTCACAGCTAATGGCCCAAGTTAGGGACATTACTGATAACTGACATTAGAGGTCATTATGTACCTTGAGCAATAAATATGATTTAATTGCTACTCAAATGTTCAAATGTGGTCACTGTGATAAATGTAAA